AGTAAGTAGTATTTGAGAATATTCCATGAAGTCTTTCACTCTAATACAGTCAACTGTCAAGCAGTCTGCACTTTCGTACACTTCACTTCAATGCCTATAACAGACCTGTACACAAGAGGGGAAGTGGGCCTTCCATTGTATCTATCACATATCAGTGCTGCTCTTTGGTCAACAGTTCTGCTTCAGTGCCTGGACCACCTCCGTCTGAAGACATTATACCTGTGTAATTATTCAAATATTCTACTGCCACCTGCTGATATTTTTAAATGATTGGAATGTAGAAAAATGAAAGTACTGATACTAATGATAAGAAGCACAGTCATCACAAACTTAGTATAACTGAGATATGGAAAATGTCTGATGCTCTAAGACTAGGCAATTCCTTGGCTTAAGCAGTTGTTCACAACCAGGTGACCAAGTATTTACTAATAAAGCAAATAAAATAAAAGACCATGTATGAAATTCACATGTCAAAGCATCCATCTCTAAGTTAAAATTTTACTTAGCTTATAATAGTTTTAGTTCCCTGGGAATGAAACTCGTTACATGATTATTCCTTGGCCTAGCACGCCTGTATAGGGATACATTATTTCAAAAGTAGGATGTATTATTTCGAAAATACCTTTGCTCTTCCAAAATCAATCCACAAATCTACAAATACACTGCAGCAAAAGTTCCTCTAGATAATAATTTTGGATTATGTCAGCATGTAGAAATATACATATATCTAATACATATATATACATATATCCAATAAGGAAAAATGACTTGTAAAAGACAAGTTTACAGCTCTGCAAATGAACATTTATTTATCGTGAAGTTTCAAGTGACAAGAATTAAAAACCCACCAAGAGCAGAGCTTCACCTGGTGATCAGATGCTCCTGATTTAGTTTAGTTCCAAAACAGTTTTTTTGAAGTTTGGGATTGATATTTCTTAAGAGCTACACAGCAACTAGTGTTCATCAGGACTAGCTTCCTCCTCTGTTAACCAGGTCCCAGAAACCTTCCAGCATGAAGTACCTCTGTCTCAGAACAAGTGTATACATGTCACTCAGCACAGATCAACCCTCTTCCTAACGAAAACATCTACTTCTACAAAATTTGTTTTTCTCCACTGGGAAAAACATCTCCAGTTGAGAACAAGAGGTGCTACACTTATAAAACAACATTTTAATGTCTCACAATAGCTGAAGTGCTTGCTTGAAAACATTAGACAAACAATTTTAAAAGCTACACAATTTACAGAGCACTTTTTTGATGAGCAATGGAAAGTGATTTTAGCACTTTCACAAATCCCAGCACTCCTTCTAATCCAGTGGGCAAGGAGTGCACCCATTTAAAGGGCCACACCAAAGCCTGTAAAGAATGAGTGAATTCCCCACATTCAGTGGAGCCCAAGAATCCACCCCAACACTCTTGCTTTCTACCACCACTGCTACCACCGTTCACCTGCTCTCTGGACTGCTGCTCTAGGATCACTAACTTTCCCATTTCTTCCCAAAACATCATCTAATCAAATCTCCTACTCCCAGGGAGCCCCAAACCCAGCAAACTTTCCATGGCTCCTCAATACTTAAAGAATGATTTCTGCTCTCAAATTGTGCACAAATATCCTCTCTCCGAGGTGCCCTGTGCTCCCTAAACCTCCTGACATTCCCAAAGATCACCCTCAGCCCTTCTGCCACACATGCAGTGTCAAGCAGGGTCAAGATGCTCAGTTTCTACTGGGAGTAAGCTCTGACTCCAGATACTATACCCACTGAGTTCTAAACTCCCAAACTTCCTCTCTCTCTACAGAACCTTTCCAGATACAAGGCTTCCTTCTATAGGTCAACACATTTTGGAACACCAGCCACTAAATGCTCACAAAATAAAAATAACAGTACTTACCCCAAGAAAAAAATAGTCAAATTATTAAAAATAATAAAATCCAATGTAACATAAAGGAACTATAATTTATTATCTCTGGTTTTTATTTCTCAAGTTATCACCTTCCCCCTTTGATGAAAGTAATTAAACTTCACTACATTTACTCAGCATGCACAAGATCATCCTATAGACACTTTTATAAATACGTGGTATTATGAATAAAACCTTGTAAACAGAAATTCACAATTTTAAGTTTTAATTTACATGAATGTTCTTTTCTATGAGCCCTCAAAAACCTAAGGCAAAAATAAATTTCCCTAAACAGAATATATCCTGTGTTTCAACTCCTTTTTAAAGGCAAAGGTATATACTGTTCAACTATACCCAGGCTATTTACTATTTTTTTCAGGGATAAATTGTAAACTATCAAACTATTATCCAAAAAAGCCATTTTCACAAATATATCAAAACTCAAATAATGCCCTCTTCCTATTAATTCACTTCACATACAGTCTTCTCAAAATAAGCAACCACTATCTCTACAAAATTAAAATTTCATAGATAAAAATGAAATATTGGGGCTATGGGTTGTTCAGCTTACAGGTGTTTTACCTGAAATTGCTTTAAGGAAAAAAAGAAACTTCTTATAAACAGTTAGTCACAAATACTTTCTAAACTCTGCCACTATTCATTCATGTTGATGGTGTTTAGTAGCAATAAACACATACAAGAGTGTTAACAATCGAATCCCAAAATCACCATCTGTAAATCATGCCAATGAAAGTCCTAAATAAACTCCTATGCATAATAGGTGGTTCTAGAAATGACACATTTGAAGGGTGGAAGAAAACAGAGATGTTAACTTTACTGCTATCTCCACCACTTAAGCTTCCCAGTTCATAAACAACAAAGAATTTCTTGTAATAGTAAGAAAACATATATAAAACAACCAGAAAAATGTTAACACTGAATATCTGATGCTAAAGAATTAATTTAAGTGTGAGAATAGCGTAGTGATCATCTAATAAACAAGAAAGATACATACTTAAGTGTTTATGGGTGAAAAGGTTAAGATAATGGAAGGGAGGAAGCCACAGATACCAGATTAGTCGTGTGCTGGTTAGGGTTAAACTGAGTGAGTAATCTATTCTCTCCTTTTGCATGTTGAAATTTTCCAAAATAACAAAATAGAACTGCTAGTGAATAAAATCTCAGGCACTATTTTCTTCATGATTTTATGCCACTTTTGCATATACTTCTTAATTCCTTCAGTCTGCATAATTTGAGAATTTCTCCTCATCTGTAAAACTGTTGTAGTCAGAGAGCTGTGTCACTGCCAGTGTCCCAAATACTTTCCAAATGCAATGCCAACAAATCTACTTCAAAACCTTGGGGGAAAAAGGGGATAGAACCAAAGAGGAAATGAGGGGCAGTAAAAACTTAATGAACCTGCTACCATAAAGTACTCTCACATCTTAAAATCAATTAATACATGTTCAGGTTTCATTCTTCCTTTTTCTTGCAGTTTAAGAACAGACTGTTGGTTTCTGGTTTACTTCACTGCCCTTCACATCCATGCTGACCCCAGAAGATACAAACAATCCAACCACTGTGTAATCAGGTCAAAAACAAGCTTTGGCTAACTCACTTGGAAGAGTACACTCACCACTTAAATTTGGCCAGAAAAACTGGGTTAGAAAAAACTGCTGCTTAAACAAACACCAGGGCTAGGGAAAATGTCTTCAAGCCAGTTACCAGGCCACTCAGTGAGTTGCAACACAATCTCTTCCAAAAATTTTCCAAACACTTCCAAATTCAACTGAGCCCAGTAGGCTGATTTAACAGATTTTTTAAATTCAAGAATCTGACCTCAACAGTTAAACAAAAAAACACAAGCTAATTCATGTAAGATCACCTACAACTTCAGACCATAGACCAGTATACAGCCCAGACCAGGAAAAGCTGGGGCTGGGGAGAGGCATTACAAGTGATAGATAAAACTTCCTCATAAAGCAGAAGAGAGACAACAGGATCCACACTTAACTTGGCCTAAGAAAATGTCTACAGTCAGCTTCCAATTCCCTGCCCTCCATTTTTAATGAAACAATGACAATTCTTCATGGTGAACCACAAAGCCCTGCTTCATAAGGTATTTTTTTCTATCCCGACCTTGTAACCACTCTAACAGCTAGAAAACACCCCCAGTACAGATAACTTTCAGAAAACGTTTGGTAGTAAAAAAACAAATGATGACATGGAAAATTTAACATTGTGTTGCAAATGTTCAAGGCCTGCACCTCCATTACCTACAGTTTGTCCATAACCTCTAGAATGTGCACTAGATAAAATGAACCTGTTAGTCACATCAGGTGTCAGCTACTCAGGGTAGACTCATAGTCTCCAGATTTGTTAGTTCCATTTGGGGCTGGGTGGAGGGCCGGTAGAATGTTAGAAAAAGGGAGAAAAGCCTGAGCTAGCTGTGAAAGCTAGACATCCTCTTCACTGTTCATTCTCCCTTGGTTCTGTTTCAATTACACACCTGTCAAACAGGTTATTCCTGGAACTCAGATTTTATAATCCTTACACTGCCATTCTTCCTGCTCCTGTTGCCCAAACACACATCCTCCCTTCTTTTCCAAAATATGTATCCATCAGTAGAATGTGTGATAGAGTTATAAAGTGTCCCAAACGCTGCACCTTGAGCTCTCTCGGCAAGTATTCAAAAGAGGAAACGATGACAATTTTCAAGAAGGTCAAGGCAGGGGTTAACATGACCACAGACAAAGCCTTATTATTAATTTTAATTAACACACATTAAGAAGGCCAGATTGGGAACGAACAAAAAAATGAAGGTTGTCTTATGAAAAAAAATGTCTTCCCATTTTATTATAGTGCATGCCTAACAGTGTAGGTTATTTCCTTATCTCAAAGCCAGGAAATGAGGTCTTTTAAGGCCAGTCAGATTATAACCTCTGTTTAAAACAGAGGGCCTGCAAGGAGAAGCCCCTTTCCCAACTTTAGCTAAGTGGCCTGGCCTGCGGTCAGCAGCGTGTTTACCACCAATCTTGTCCCCGACAAGAAGTTTCAACATGCCACGGGAAACAAAGAAGGTAAGGTGCTTCACACCGACCTTATAGACTTGTCCGTAGGTGCCATTTCCAACCACTTCCACAAGCTCAAAAATCCCAGCAGGGTCCTAGACAAGAAGGAGGGAAGGGTTATCTTCTGAAAGCAACACACAATTAATCAATAAAGAAGGGCAGCTGGAGAGAAAGGGTGGCTACAACGAGGTGGGTTCCACCGGCGTGCTTGCCCAAAACTGACTGTGTGGGGCGGTGGCATATTGTAGCTCCCCGACCAAGCACACGCGGACACAGACAAAAGGGCCGCCAGGCTCGCGGTGGCGCTGGAGCGCCTAGGGCGCGGCCCCGCTCCCCGCGCACTCGCAGCCGGCCCTTGGCGGCCACTCACCCGCAGGGAGGAGAGGTCGATGTCCACCAGACTTTTTGCAGGGGAGTCGTTCGCCATTTTCCCTTTTTGCCACCCAAAGCAAGTGTCAGGATGAAGACAGCAATGGCTGGGTGATCTGGTCACAGGCCGGGCGGCTGCGGGCGGAGCGTTCGAGCAGCGGCAGCGGCGCTCACACCATGGCGACCCGCGGCAGCCCCTGCGTGGCCAGGCCTCAGCCCCGCGCCTGCTCACCGGCGGGGAGCTTAGGGTGCCGCGCCGCCCACAGCGGAGCGAGCGCGCGCGAGAGGCCCGGAGACAAAGCTCCCCGGGCGGTGGGGGCGGAGCAGGGAGGAGGGCGGAGGAGAAGGGTGGCGCGGAAGGAGGGGACACGGGACACGAAAAACATATTCCGCGGACAGAGAAAACAGCTCCCCCTTTCTTGCTCTGGCAGGAAGGACGGGCGGAAACGCACTCCCACCGTAGCCCCGCCCGGAGGGCTCGGGGCGGCCGCCCATACGGCGTGAATGTACATCAAGGGTGCGGCCGAACAATGGCCGCTGGGAGCCCAGCACCGTGGCCTCCCAAGGGGTTGGACACGCGGAACAGAGCCTGGGTAGCCCCGCTGTTGTGCTGAGTGCAAAAAGCCGCCCTCACCTCGCACTACCAAGCAAGGACCCAAACGCCAAGAAGCAGCAGACCCCTACCCAGGTCAGGGAGAGGCTGTGTGCAGTGGGACATCTGCTAAAGGGACATGAAAGGGGTGTGCCCAAGCCGAGGAAAGTCCTCTCTCTCCTCACCCCCACTTATCCCCACCCCTCCCCCACCCCCAGGTTCTCTACACTCAGGACCTGCATTTCTCTACAGGGTTTTCTTGTCCTTTCTCTTCTCCAGGCCAAACTTTTGACCGGATTGTAGTTAGTGGATTCGCTGAGTGTCACTTGGCTGCGATGTCCCAAAATTTCAATGGAAAGTTTCCAAAACAGCTCCTCTAATTGCTTTGTGCTCTGTTACCTCAGGTGAATAGTAAAAAACTTGGAGTCATCAGTACTGACCCAAGTTCTGTGCCTACAAATCATTAAGGTTCAATAAACAGGCATGTTCCAGCAACTTAAATTGTCAGTGACAATTTAATTCTTATATTAACCAATATTTTTTTCCTATGAACCAATTTTAATCCTAGTGACCAGTAATTTTTACTGGATGAAAACTCTATGGACCCCTATTACCTCACAACAGGTTCCAAACCTAAGTGCAGAGAATCACCAGGAGGGATTGTAAAAGCACTGATTGCTGACCCCACCTCCAGTTTCTGATTTAGCAGATCTGGGATAGGCCTAAGAATTTGCGTTTCTATCAGGTCCTCAGAGATGCTAACATTGCTGTTACTAGGATCAAACTTTGAGACAGGAGCCTCACAGGATGTAAACCCAAGACCCTTCATAATTAGGCTTCACAAATATCACCATCATCATCATCTACCAATTGTTGCTTTGCATACAGTAGTACTTCTGTAGGCCAAGACTGATGCTGTCCTTGTTTTAGAGATGAGAAAACCAGAGTGCTGAAAGATAAGGGGTGTGCCTAAATTCCTTAAAAAGCACACCCTGGGCATGGAACGACTCAGCCTATTCCCAAAATAAAAGTCTCTGATTCAGCCAGGTTAGTCTTTTACCTACAGTATGGTTGGCAGTCTCCTGCCTCCCAACAATTTGGTTTCCAAGATTTTTGACTCTGAGAATCCCTTGTAAGGGTAAAATACATTCAAAGACTCCTGGAATCCATTGGCTAGGAAAATTATAATAACAAGAATGTTACTGTGAATTTAATAGTGGTTTAAATGATTTGTTTCTTTATCCATCAACAGCAATGGCATTATCCGTGAGTGTTAATTAAATAATTTACTTAGAGAGCTAGATTAATGCACATGTGAACTTTCAGACCATATTACTAGTGATAGTATTTTAGTAGTGTTTATTATTATTGATAGGTAATGTGTATTGGGTCCAAACAATGTATTGTTTCATTTTTCTTTACATTAACCCCAAATAATAGGTGTTCTTATTTTTCCCACTTTCCACATTAGGAAACCAAAAGATGTTAAGAAGTTAAAGTCTAAAGAAGTTAAGTGACTTCCTCAGTGTGCATAGCTGAAACTGATGCATAAGCTCCAGCATCCACCCCACAGCCAGGATCACAGCCTGAGCTCAAAACTCATGCATAAAGGCCTGTTTCAGACTATTCCTGTCTTCTCTGCCTACCCAAATTCTCTCAATTACCTCAAGCTCAACTCAGAAATCATCTCTTTCTTCTATAAGCTTTCTCTAACTCTCTCTTATGCTGCTATTTCCTGTATCATCACTCTGACAATTATTTGCCACTTTCAATTCATTGTCTTCAGTGCAAGGCACTGGCTTAGCCATTTTCCATGATACAAGGAAGATTAAGGCATCCTACTCTCAGAGTTTACAATCTTACAATGGGTATAATAATTTCATGAATAGCTACAGCTAGTTGCAGAACATGATAAATTCTGGCTACACAAAAAGAAGTCCAGTGGAATGTATTCTGGATTTAGGAAAAAAGAACTGGATTTGAACCTAGTCCTATCACCATTTGTGCAACATTGCACATGTTGCTTAACCTCTGAGCCTTTGCATCCTCTTCTGTACACTAGATGAAGACTGGAAGTAAGAAAGACAGTTAAGAGACCATCTCCAGAGCCCTGGCCTGTATAGCTCAGTTGGTTGGGCATCATCCTGTAAAGTGAAAGGTCACCAGTGTGATTCCCAGTCAGGGCACATACCTGGGTTGCAATTTCATTCCCATTCAGAGCACATACAAGAGGCAACCGATTAATGTTTCTCTGGCACATTAATATTTCTCTCTCTCCCTTTCTCCTTCCCTTCTTCTCTCTCTAAAAATAAAATCTTTTTTAAAAAGCAGTCATCTCAAGAGCATAGGCAGAATAATCAGACCTGGTGACAGGAGATATAAGAGTTCTTGGGCCAGTAGACTCTCTTAAGGCTTGTCTTAAGGCTTGGCTTCTGTGCTTAGGAGCCTATTTCACATTTGGAAGGATGCTATCATGAACAGAAGAAAGGACTCATCCTTTCTGAGTGGTGGTGGAAAAGGAAGGTTTGATTTTGGACTTTGTGCACAGTTAGTTAACTTTTCACACAGAGGAAGTGTATCCCATCCCAGCATGCCACTCTGCATGCGTTCTAAGAGCATGTTCTCAATCAAAAGGTACACATTTGCTAGGTTGCCATGAAAATACCACAGACTAGGCAGCTTAAATAACAGAAATTTATTTTCTCACAGTTCCGGAGGCTGGAAGTCCAAGATCAAGGTTCTACTTGATTTGGTTTCCAGTGAGAGGTGTCTTCCTAATTTGCAGATGGCCATCTTCTTGCTGTCCTCACATGAGCTTTCCTGAGTGCTAATACATACATAGAAAAAATTATATTGGATCAGGGCCCCACCCTTATGACCTTATGAATTTAAAATTAGTTATTTTCTCACAGGCCACAGTTCCAAATACAACCAAACCGGGGTTTAAGTTTTAAACATATGGGGGCTTAGGGTTTCAACATACAGAGGGACACAAACATTTAGTCCATAACAAGCCATGTGCAATACATTATGCCAGGAAGTAGGCTTCAGTCATGGTCCTTGTCCTCAAGTATCTATTTGAGAACACAAAATAAAACCACCCCAAAATGTATCCAAGATAATAATTCAGAAAGGAAATACTAAATTAGCATTTTAGACTGGAGGAAAAATTAACTTACTTGAACAAAGAATAAGAAGCTGAAAGAATAAGGACACTGGCCACCCCGGGCCAGAACACTCAATTCAGAGAACCCTGAGAGATAAAGCTAGATGGTTTTAGAAGGACTAGAAGATAAAACTGAGGCATGGGCAATGTGGGGGTTAAAAACGGAACCCAGATTGTCAATCAAGTCAACCAAAAAACAGCCTAGCCTCAGTTCTCAAGAGCTCTGATGGCAGGTGAATGCTTAGCAGGCCAAGGGACATAAACATGCCTTTTTTCTAGGGTAAGTCAGCTCATACCCAGCCAAAGAAGTTCCAGGGGCAGCGAGTTATGCAAGAGGTCAAAATGGACAAGACCACTTTACATATGTCCTAATTTTTAATTTATTGTTAAAATATTGATGGAACTTGATTTTCAACCTCAGAATAGGTCAGGGCAAGCAGGGCAACAGAGCTGTGAAACTGAGCCTGAATATATCTTAAGGGCACGGGGTCATAGAGGACTTAGGTTAACCGGAAGTAGTGGTAAGCAAGGGGAATTAGATACAGCAAAGGAAACAATGGTGGGATGTGTGCAGGAAAAGCTCAGAAAGGGAAAAACATAAGCTTAAGGGTCAGAGATCTGAGTTCTTAATCTCTGATGGACAAGGTACTGAGCAAATGCTTACCCTCTCTGCCCCTCAGTTTCCTATTGGACGGAAGTGAATGAAAAGTCCTGTAGGACCTTGGAGACACTGATTTATAAAACCCTGGTGTCAGCCCTATAATTAATTGCTCAGACTTCTTCACCATAGTGAAAGCAGGTTGCTAGGAGCAGTGGGAGTTAATGGAACATGTGGAATGCTATAGATTCAGCAGCAGAGTTTAGCCCTCTAAAGGCCATCTTTGAGCATGGGAAGACAGAATCACACTCCATCCAACTAGTGTAGCAATTGAATTAAAAGGAAGCAAGTACTCTAGTGCACAATAGGATGGCAGGTGTGCAATGCAGAAGCAGATCTAAGAGCAACAAAAGTGGACCAGAGGCAAGACAGACATCCTACCCCAGCTTCCCAATACATGCTGTCACTTCTGTGATGGGGAAATTGTATTCGCTCAGGTCTTCCAAAAGGAGACACTAAGGCAAGGATTTAGTGCAGGGAGTTTATCTGAAAGGTGATTCTAGGAAGTGCAGTGGAGGGATAAGAAAGTAAAACATGAAATGGAGATAAATCAATGAGTGTGTTGATGAGCAGGTTATCTCTGTGGGCAGCTGATCTGGATGGACCTAGCTGGCTAGAAAAGGAGAAAATGTAGATTTATCTTATTTTGTGGGTCCCTGTGTTCAATATTTTTGTAAACACTTAAAAATAGTATTTTCAATGCAGAAGAACTGGCTGTTTATAGAAGACTTATTTGAAGTTTTTTATAAAAGAGAATTCCTATCCTTTAACTTACCTTTTTGTAAATGTATATTTTATATATGAGAATTGCTTAAGTTTAAACAATTGCTTCAAGTTTAGCTGTGAAGAGACCTTGACCTTCAAAATCTTCTAGCAGCCTCAAAAATGAGGTTAGAGATCATCCTAACTTTAGAAATCAAGGTGGTAGCCACAGGAAGTGGTTGGGAATAGTA